TGGCTGTCTACGATGGATATAAATATTGCCCGCACCTCTCGGTCCGGTCATTGCGACTCGACGCGGAACATCGAGTCGCAACGACCGGAGGACGTGTGGAGCAGTGCCAGAGGTCGTATTATTCGGGGTCCCCCAAGCGGGGCGGTGACCTCACCGTGGGGTGAGTCGGTGGGGGTGCGGGGGGCCCCGCGCGGTCTTGGGGTCCAGGGTCGTTCTCCGAGGACGTCGCGGGCGACAGAGGCCTCCAGGGTCCCAAGACCGTGCGGTGAAGTCTTGGGGGATTTCGAGGTCACCGCACGGTCTGTCACCGCAGCGCTTCGGGACTCCAAAAATCCCATCAGGAGGGAAAACACACACACACACAGACGCAAGTAATCGTCCACTGCCAAGGGAGTATTTGGGAGAATCTGGGGAGCGGGGGGGACGACGAAAGTCCAGAAAACATCGGAAATGTTTGGAATCCTGGGATCTGTGTTTATCTATTTAAGTTGTGTGTCCCTGGGCCCCACCTCAATAGAGCAGGGAGGTGGTCACCACCCTCCCAGGCGAGCAGTTTGCCCCCCCCCCCCCTCACACCCCCCCCCACACCCCCCCCCGCTAGCCCCGACAAGACCAGACATGACAGGGCGGCCTTTCGCCCAGGCCCCGTTGGAATCCTCAAGGACAGCTGAAATCCGACCCCCCAACAATAATCAGACCACGACCCCTGCATGCGGGCAAGATTCGCATCCACCAGTGCGTCTTGGACTGTCTTGGAAGGCGCGCCACAAGTCAGGGACGCGCTGAATATGGATAAAGGTTAAAGATCTAGCCGCTAGGGGCTAACACTCTTTGTCCATATCCAGTGCGCCTCGGGTTTCTGGGGAAGTGAGTCCGAAACTCAAAGCTGCAGTAGATACGGACACAGGTCTGGAGGGGCCCGATCCGATTCGACTCCGAACTTCCGTTGGTCCGGCTCGGCACGCGGCACGACGCCTGCAATTCGCTGGTGTTGTGCGTCCTGGCGCGGCCAGTCCGCTTCGATTCCGACTCTGGGCCGATGCGGCTCGGTCCGATTTACATTCCGATTCGAGTTTTTTTTTCGATTCTATGATGGCGAACCCTGCCGCGGGCTTGGGAGATGCGCCAGGGGGTGCTTCTGAACTTTCTGGCATTGGCGAAGTGGGATGCAGGTCGCCAGCTAGCAACTTCCAGGACGCGGCGGAGCTGATGGAGCACTGATGCGATCGGAAAGTCTGGAGCATGGGCGCGTAGGGGGACCGAGGAGGGGCCGCCGCTTCTTGGGTTCCTCTGAACACGCTGGGGCGCAAGCCACATGCCATTCGCCGTATACGCAGGAACGCCCCTGAAACATCTAGGAATACTCTGCAGCGGGGGAGGTCTGCTCGCGTGAAGCCGCTTCAGAATCTCACACGTGCCGAACGCCCTCCTCGACGATCCTCCCCCTCGCGACCTTCATCACTCCCTTAGGCTGGGGTGTGGGGCCTGGTGGGCCCTTGCTGGGAGGGGCCTGGGGCGGAGGCCCAACTTCCACCGGCGCGATTCTTTGAATAGGGGGCCCTTTACCCACCGACATCTCTCGCAACCTGTCAGCGGTCCGCATGCTACTATTACTATTGAATCGCTTCGCTCATTCCGCCGGCCCATACGGTCTCATGTCTGCCGTTTGCCCGAGGGCCTGGTGTCAATGCGGCGCTTTGGGGGTTCCTGGGGCCGCTTGGGGGACTCCTGGGGCGCTCGGGGGGGCATTTGGGGGGCCTCCTGGGGCCGCTTGGGGGACTCTTGGGGGCCTCCTGAGGGCCTCGTGGGGGCCTCTTGGGGCCCCTTAGGGGCCTCTTAGGGGCCTCTTGGGGCCTCGTAGGGGCTTCTTAGGGCCGAGGGCGCGAAATTTTGTTTCGTGTTCCCTCTCTGGGGCCCCTTTGGGGGTGTTCTTGGGGCCCTCTTGGACCGTCTTGGAGGCTTCTTGGGCCGTCTTCGAGCCCTCTTGGGCCATCTTGGGGCCCTCTTGGGGGCCTCTTGGGCCCTCTTGGGGCGATCTTGGGGGCCTCTGGGGCCGTCTTGGGGCGTCGGGAACCGAAAAGGTGGAAGCTCCAAAATCTCTCAAAAACCTAAGGAAAAACAATGAATTTTGCCTCCGGGGGCCCTCTTGGGAGTGCTCTGGGAGGCCTCTTGGGGCGTCTGGGGGCTATCTTGGGCGTCTTGGAGCGATCTTGTGGCATGTCGGACCCCTCGTGTACCATCTTGGGGGCCTCTTGGGGGCCTCTTGGCCTTTCTTGGGGCTCTCGGGGACGTCTCGGAGCCATGTTGGTGCGCTCATGGAGCCATGGAGCGCTCCTGGATCGCTCTGGGGGATCCTCCCCGGGACCTCTCTCAGGGACTTGAGGGGTACTTTTCGTAACGGGGACACCCAGGGGCCGCACCGCGCGCGCGACGAGAGAATTTTAACCAGACGGAGATCTTTAGCACGCATTTGGCCTTGTGGCCGGCGAAGTATGCTACT